AAACGCTAATAATGAAATCATAAAAATATCCAATTAAAATAGACATAATTTAAAAATAAATATATTATATTTGACATTTAATTTAAGTTAAAGTGTATTTAATATTTTATCAAATAAAATATACTGCAGGATACTGCAGATACTGTACTGCGTTAGGCTAACCGAGACTTGTCATTTGCACTTCTATATTGTTGCTTTGAGATTTTGAGAAAAAAAAAAAACTAACAGTACCACATACATATAGTTTTTTTAGCCTTAATTCAGTGCAAATAAATTTTCATCTAAACTATTCACACAAAACTAATCTAAATATATTTAATATTACATTGATGGACTCACCGCTGACAGTCACACTGAATGACTGTGTATGGTGTATGGTGTATCTGCTGCTGCTGATCTCAACTTCATAAAGTCCATCATCTGTGGTTCTGGTGTTTGTGATGGTCAGAGATCCAGTCTGATTGTCCAGCCATAGTCTGCGTCTGAATGTGTTGAAGATTCCAGCTGTTCTATCGATTTCAGCTATAAGAGATTTCTGCTGTCCAAACCTCCACTGTATCACATCATGTATATCAGTAAGACCAGTGCGTAGAGTGACTGAATCTCCCTCCAGCACTGACACTGGCTTCACTGCATCAGCAGACACAACTGCAGAACAAACAGAAACAGTTTCTGTCAGTTATTACTTTTCAAACAGTCACTATAAACAGATCTAACACAGATCACTGAGTCTTGTCTAATGATTTTCTTCAATATTTTCAATGTTCTTTTCTGCAACCATCTCAACTAGTCAAATGCAGATAGAGTGGATTTTACACATAAATTCACTAACACACAAACTACCATTCAAATGTTGAGTGACTAAAACTTGTCAATGAAAGAAACCAATGCTTATGTTCATCAAGGTAATATTTAATTTAAATAATCTAATTAATTAAAATGTTAACCATTGCAGAAAAAGCCCAGCCATTACTCTATTCCAATTAGAAAACCATAATATTTATAATATTTGAGAAATCATACTAATGTAATGACTTGGTACTCTGCAAAGCTGACACTTGCTGTGGTCATAGTGGTCATAAAAATGGACAAACGTAAGTATATTTATAAAAACACATCAGTCTGTTGTTATTTTAATAGTTATAGAATATTCCAAACACTACACAGACCATTACTGGTGCTCAGATATAAGCTTCACTGAACAGGACACACTAACACTGTTACAGTGAAGAGAAGACCGAGATGCTGCGGCTGAATGAATCTGAGAATTGAGGAGTTCTGGGAAGAGTTTAATTGAAAGCAGGGCTGCAACTAATGCTTATTTTGTCGATTTTTTATTTATTTTTTTATTATTGACTAAAAACACACTATTCCACATTCTGCCCAGTGTCCTTCAAACAAACGTTCCAAGTGAATGCTATGAAAACATGCAGTGCTATCACCTGCCATAATAAAGAGAAAACACATTTTAGGAATTTTAGGAATCTGTCAAAAAATGGTTTAAATCAAAAATGTTTTATTGTCATTTATTGGGCAAATAAACTTAAACAATTAAATAATATTTATTCACATAACAAAAATGGCCTCCTATGTCCTTTATAACAGCTTGCATTCTTGCTGGCATTGTTTATGTACTTTTTGACTGTAATTGGGTATCTGAAAAAAAAAACACTATAAAGCTCTCTGCCTTTCTTTCATAGATAACAGCAATAATTCTATTATAGTATTAGAAACAGCCTGTTACTAAAGAGCTTATGCATAATGGAGGACTAACCCATACAGAAAGCTAATAAATTACTTTGGTAATCACCAGTACTGTTAGTTTAGAGCAGCAGTGGCACAAACCATAATTTGTTAAAAACCTTACATAAATTTGTTTTAATAAATTTGTTAAGCATTGTATATAGTGAATATAGTTTAAATCTCTGCATTAACATTAAAATAATAATAAAGATGAATAAAATCTCAGTTGTAACCAATAGGTAAGAGTAATGTTCTGCAGGAACACGTTCACTTTGACCACAGGCACGTCTTACTGTCATTTCTTTATCCTGTTAAAGGCGATTTTGAAGCGTCTGATATTTATATTTAGAAAATTACACGCTGTTATCCCTTTACAGTTCCTACTCTCATAAAATACTCGCAATGCAAGTTGACATTTAAACCTTAATTTAACTTTCAACAACAGATATTTCAGCACAATGAAAGTTTTTGCGCTGATAATTAATTGTTTCTCTTCAGTAAAGACAGACTGTCAGCACGGACCTTTATGCAAAAATGGAAATGCTCGCGTGAATTTGTGACATGACCGACCGTTAACAGAAAGTTTTTTTTTGCGCTGAGGACGCACACGCATCGGTCAAAGCGCCTGACAGGGCAAGCCATTATGCTAATGCATTAGCTTAAAAATAAAGAATTCTCATGTTTTGGGCAGCTTGGATAACGTAACTCTCCCGCAGCATCTCATTCTGTTTCCTCCACTATTTTAGATGCATTTTGTCCATAGAAATGCGTAAATCAGTGCTTTAATTTGACGCGACCGGCTGAAGTTGGACGTGCACTGTGGGCAGACCCGATTAATCGACAATGAGAATCGTTGTCGATGATTTTCATAATCGATAATAATCGATTTTATCGATTAGCTGTTGGAGCCCTAATTGTAAGATCTGTGATTAATGCCCTTCAGGCCAGTAACACATGGGAATTACTCCTGAAAAAGAAACGTCAGCTGAATATCTTAAAAAGCTAACTGCAAGAACACATATGATTTGCAGAGCTGCCACTGCTGCACACAGATGATTCTTGAATGAACAAGCATTCTTCTTTGAAGAACAACTAATATTATAAAGGTTTTCACTGTCATTTTTATTGAATTGAATGTGTCTATGGTGAATAACAGTATCCATTTCTTTTAAATACATACACATTTCTTGGTGATTCCAAATGGTAATATATGTAGATTAGACTAAAGCCATTTCATGCTGATTTGAGAAAATCTGATAAATATACACTACTGTTGTACATTTGGGAACACTATAACTTTTTTTTTTTTTAAAGAAATGTATACTTTTATTCAGCAAGGATACATTAAATTGATTTAAAAAAAAAAAGTAAGTAAATCTAATGTTCCTTGAGCAGCAAATCAGCATATTAGAATGATTTCTGAAGGATGTGACACTGAAGACTGGAGTAATGATGCTGAAATTTCAGCTTTGATCACAGGAATAAATTACAATTTACTATATATTCACATAGAAAAAGGTTATTTTAAATTGTAATAATATTTTAAAATATTACTGTTTTACTGTATTTTTAATTAATTAAAAGCAGCCATAGTGTGCAACGAACCACAGCCTGACCTGCTGCTGCGTATGCCCTGCCATTTAAGCGCGATGTATCCTGGAGGGGCTTAGATGGCAAGGAGGGAGTATTAAGGGAGGATGTCTCGCCCGAAGAGAGATAGCTAGCCAGCTTAATTATTGATCAAATTCAATATTGTATGGCCTCTAGACCTACATGTCTTCCCAAGACACACACACAAAACAAACAAACAAAAACAAATAATAAATCGTCTCAAATGGTCGCTGTTTTGAGAGAAACTATTCAAAGACTGATAAATCTTTTACCAACAAAATAAAATTATTTCACTTTCATTTTACCACAGAATTTAAATAAATCTGAATTCTGTTGGGTTTTCCAATAATAATGAAACACTTGCATTAAATAATAAATGATCAGTTTGTCAATTTCCTTGACAAACACATAATCAGATAACATTTATATATTTTTTTATATGTGTCATTTTAAACTGAAATACTTTGTAAATATTTGCTGACAAACTATAAATGAGAATTTGCCAGTACAGTTTTTGCATCTGTAACAATACAAATTTCAGAGAACTTAAATTGTTCATACACTCTCAGAATTTTTTTTACAAAAGCTGTCACTGGAGTGTTGCCTTTTTGAAAGGTACGAATATTCATGAAGATACTTATATGTACACTTCAGGTACTTGCATGCATCTTAGGGGTAAATAAGGGATGCAAACAGGTAAGGGGTAAAAAAAGGTGAGAACATTGTGTGGATAGAGAAAACCTGCCACAACTAGGGGTCTGAGGTATTCTTGGCACAGAAACTTTTTGAAAGATATTTGCTTTACATGCAAAGCTGGACTGGGAAAAAAAAACAAAAAAAAACAACCCTGGCGTTTTTGGTCCAAGCGGCCCACCACTACACCAGAATTGGTCCAGTTGGACACCACCCATACATACACATTGTCATTCAAAATACACACACATTAACTCTGTGCGTGTTTATGTGTGTGTATATTTACTGTGTATACCTGTTTAAGTGGACCAGTGTACTCACTCACTCTTGACTCTCTCTTAATAGTCAGTCAAAGTTATGACTACTTGAGGAGACCATGCAGTATAGGCATGCACCGATCATTATTTTATAGCAAATTCCGACTGCCATTTTTTTTACAAGCAAATGGGCTGATTGTGATACTGACTGCTGATTTTTTCTTTAAGCAAGAGACAAGAAAGGTTGAAAGTCTACATAAACAAGATGTTTATTTGCTCTATTACAGGCCTTAAACAATATCTGTAGCTATTTAAAATTAGAGGCAACCACTGCTTTTCCAAAGAGATGCTACATACATGGTGCATGAGCATTTATTTTTTATTTAAATTAAATTGCATAATTTCAAGATTTAAGGCAAACAGAATGATCTTACTTTAGCTTTGTGAAATTGTGCTAAATATGCAAATTCATTCTTTGACAGCCACAATATAGTGTTTTCTCGGTTAATGCTGTAAAAATCAGAGCTGCGCTTATGAACACTACTTTAATATGCATTAAACAGAGGTAAAATGAAAAGAAAATTCCATCGGAAATTTTCTGAAAACAGTCTAAGATTATTTTTCTTACCCCACTGGCAGATAATTTTACTTGTTTCCCCCAGGAAACAAGACTAAATATTAGGGGTGTGACGAGATATTTACCCCACGAGACGAGACACGAGACTGGGTTCACGACAACGAGACGAGACGAGATTTTTAGACTTTTTAAAAGAAATTCTCAATGATGAAATATATAGGAAAAATAGTCTTTTATTCAACTGAAAAACACAAAATGCAAAAAATGTAGGTGCATTTTGAAATCAACTTGTACTTTATGAAACTTAACTTCTATTTTAATGAATTACATGCAGCAATAAACAACATGTAAACACTGCAAATTGTTTTGCAAGGATATCGTCACGTTCTCACGTGCCACGAGATCTCGTCACATCACTACTAAATATCGTATTATATATTTTTTATATATAGAAAATGCGTCTTAATTTAAGAATTTTTAGATATATATAGGCTACTTGAAATAAGGCAAAAATCTCAGCAATAAAAACATTTTTGCAGCATGAATGAATGAATGAGGTAGTTAAACATTTGCTTATGCTTTAAAAAGGGGGAGGAGACTGAAATAAACTCTGGATTTACAGAAGAAAACCTGCTCCCGACCAAGTTAGGTTCACGGAGTAAGTTACGAGAGGTTTAGTTTTGTCTTTTATTGGAATCGAAAAACCTGAGTTTCCCCTTATCTGGGGTTAACAAACTCTGAGTTTCCAACAAATGTAATTCTGGAATACACCCCTGTGCTCTATCTAGTGTTTTGTCGTCCCTCTCTGTGAGCATAAGGATTTTTTTTTAACGAGGTCATGCAGTTTTAATTTTTGGGACGTGTCCTGTCGTCCAGCTAATACTTTAAATACAGTGAATGGGAAATGGAGCTGAAATGGATTTTCTTTTCTCCATAGTGTTTTATTATAATGTTACACAAAAAAAACATTTTTTAGGTTTACCAAAACACATGGAGACCTTGTTCCTCTAGCATGCTTAAGAATTATGCTCTAGAGCATTTAAGTTATTTAGCACTTCATGAAAAAATATGTAAATAAACTAATTATAAGATTGAAATGCGTTAGATACTCACCACTGACGATGAAGCTCCTTTTTAAGGTGTTTAAGTTGCTTACTTCATAATCTCCAGCATGTTTATTTGTGATGTTTGTGATGGTCAGAGATCCAGTTTGAAGGTTCAGCTCCACTCTGTCTTTGAATCTCACATTAGGAAGATCATACGTAGAAATCTTTGTATTCACTGTGTTGAACTGAGCTATGAGAGTGGTTTTAAACCTCCACTGTATCACATCATTTTTCTGTATTTCAGTGAGATCAGTGTGTAGAGTAACAGAATCTCCCTCAGTCACTGATACTGACTCACTAAACACACCTTGAATACAAAGAGAGACAGTTACAGGTAAGTAAATAATAATAATAAAAAAACGAAATAAAAATAAAATAACTTTCAGTAAACAAATTCATATATTTTAGTCTTGTCTATCTCTCATGTGATCTCATGTGAACTGACAATCTACACTAAAGTTCAATATAAATTATATATTTAAATAAATAATGAGTATAAAGGTAACAATAAGGACTTTCGGTCGGTGCTCATGAATTGTATGAAACAGAATTCATAACTTACCTGAATCAGTCGGACCAAATAATGTACATTACATATTCATTATCAACAAACATTATAAGGACCAGAATCAGCAATATCTCAGAAATATACACACAGACAACCTAAAATGCATTACCTGTGAGACTATGGTATGAATCGTACAGCTTCAAAAAACACAACGAACAGAGTTATGATACAGTCTCAAAAAATATATATGTAACGTTAAAATATATGAAGGCAACTGGAAAGAGGTCTAACAGTACAGTACATTGTTAATGTATTAATAATTAGATATGATATATAACAAATCATTACTCTCTTTCCCACATTTTAGTTTAATTACTTAATTAGTTAGTAGTTTATAAACCGGGAGAATATGAGGATTAAGACAACGGCAAGCGAGCATTTACGGATATTACAAAGTGAAACCGAAAGTGTTTCAGGCATAACGTTAAACATAAACCTTACCGTCCATAAGCAATGCGATTAGAAAAAACAATAAAATGTTCTTCATATTGCAGTAGATTTCAGAAAAAAAAATCTGAGTTTCCGAAAATGATGATAATCCGCTCCTTTGGGTTTCTGGGTGTGTCGACACGAACCGATCGACAGAGAGAATCACCGAAAAACCGACTGAAGATCGACAGAAAGACTATTACACCGATTGAGAATGTAAGTTACTGAATAAATTTTCTTTCTTTATTATATCTATAGTGCTCGAAAGCACTGGGTTTAACGATTATTATGGTTAAAGTAAAAAAAAAAGAAAAAAAAAGGCTAGCACACTATCTGAAATGGCGGTATCTTCTGCGTGACGCTCAAAATAGACGCACAGCGACACCTACCGACAAACGCCACACGCGCACAAACAACGATTTACCGGACGGGTGGTGGCGTCGTCGACAAACACGGAAGGAGTGACATTTCTGGTGAGCACGTGCATTTATGACCCAAAATGTAATAATACAATTATAAGAAATGTGTTTCAGTCAAGGAAAAGAATAACTCCGAGGGGAATTTTTTTTTGGAATTCTTTAATAGATAAGATGAATTGGAAAAAAGCATGGCTCTTACCTTATAAACCAAAATCTAATGTAGACATTGATGTTACTATGTGTGATATATTTTGTTATTTTTCTCATTGTAAACATAACATAGAATATATATGAAATGTATTTATTTTATTGGGAAAATATTATATTCGTAAATGTAAATTTTCTTCAACATCTCCAAAATTACATAATTTTCTTTGTGACTTTAACTACTTAATTATAACACTAAAAAATATTAATACAAAAAAAAAAGTGTCAAATTTGTGAAATTGTATAATGATCTGCTGAATGGTACATCATTTTTTATTTACTACCTCTGTATATTTTGTTTTATCTATGTATTATTATTTATTTTTTATTTATTTTTTTCTTCTTTGTCTTCCTATATAATTTCTGTATTCATAATGTCATCCAATGTTACATTAATTGTTGAATGTTAAGTGTTTATACTTGCAATAAAAAAAAATATAAAAAAAAGAGAACGCCAGAATTCAAATAAACAAACAATTGTTTTATGATTTTTTGATAATGAACTGTTAAAAACTCTTATTGTTTGAGCTTGAGCCTGCGGGGTTCACGGAGAGAAAGGTTTGTTTCGTGGCTGAGCGGTGTCATGAGAAATCGAGTCTCCATCAGGGTTCTGGTCTCCATTAGTACCCCGAGTGATCCCGATTGGCTCAAAGAACTTTTAATGGGTATTGTTTTTAGTGCCTAATTATAATTATGACAAAATCTCGTTTTGATTTATGTCGTTTGAACTTCGTTATAATGACCATTAATGTCTTTAAATGTCGCATACAGCATATAACCCAACTACCAAGCTATAGGTTGGGGGGGAAAAAAAACATTTCTCGTTCTTGCTGTTTTAGCTAACGTGCATGCAGCCATATATATATTATTATTATTATTATTTTAATGTTTATTATTATTTTATCAAATCAATGTAGATAGTGTGTACTTAGTATGAATGATAAGTGTTAACTGATTAATTGTCATTTCATCTGAATATCAACATTTGTGAGATTTAGACAGTTACAGTTTTATTTTATTTTGTGCCTCTGGACAATAGTGATCTATGACATTGTATTAAGTTTGTACTGTATCAAAGCCTTTTATCTTTTTTATCTTTTATCTTTTAAAGATTTGTGACACATTCATAATTTCAGATTTGTGGAAAAAGTACAAAATTTTTTAAAGTGAAAGCAAACAAACATTAAATTAGACTCTTTGAAAATAAGATGTTGATCACAAAGATCAAGAATATATCACAAAATAATCAATATAATTTAGGATGTTATAATAAACTGTCTAACTATCTATCCTTTGTGCACCCCGCATTCCAATCCAGTAGGTGGTGGAAATTCCCCTTTTAAGTTGGTTGGCCAACAGCCCGTAAAGTTCAGACCGATGAGCTTTGTAAAAATCTAGGTGTTTCAGAAAGGCGGGGCATAGAGGAGAAACAATAATGTACAGTATGTGGAAAATAATGTGTTTTTTTAACCTTAAACCGCATAAACACATTGCATTACACCAAATACACAAAATAATGTTCTTTTTAGCAACATCATATGACCCCTTTATATGTACAATCATGAAGGGCAATGAAGAACAAAAAAGAATAAAAATAAATAAATAATAATAATAATTAAAATAATAATAATAATTTAATTAATTAATTAATTAAAATAAAGTAAAAATAATAGTAAAAGCATTTATAGAAAAGTAAGTTCTTACAAGGGGTAGCAAGGCGTTATAGGGCACTTAGCTCACTGAAGAAACTGGCAACTGTAGTAGCTTTTTCATTTGAAAGGGCATCAAGAGAAGCAGCAAAAATTTTAAGGTCATTAGAAAAGTGAGGAAAGGATAGAGGGGTTTCCAGAAATCTGCATTTATGAATGAAATGAAGTATTTAGCAACTTCAAAAAGGTTGTTAACCAAGTAATGTTGTGAACAATCTTTCTTAAGCACACCAAACTTAATTTGTTTATATTCAAGGGGATTTACACATGTAATTATACATGACATTTTACTGCACAATTGATTCCAAAACAACTTTGAGTAATTACAATAAAAAAATATATATGTTCAGTGGTTTCAATATAAATTTCACAGAATTGACAAGAGTTTTCTCCAATATCTCATTGAACCGGTTCAAAAAGCAGATTCATCGGTTCCTGACGTCATCAAGCAATTACGTCTCTAAGCATTTCTTTTCTAACAACTCAATGCAATGTTGTGTCAATGAAAAATTCAAATAAGTCATTTGTGTCAACGCATATCGAAACATTCAAAAATAAAAAACATTGCTGATTATTGCCATATAATTCACTTAAGTTAATGGTGTTTGTGGTCACAGTTTCATTCGCGGATCCTTTATGTCAGATACGACTGACTGAACAATATTGACTAGCCTACAACTTGGAAAAGATTCCTAAAAGTTTCACACCTACAGCACACATTGCAGACACTGATGCACAAACGTGGATATGTTCTACATGTCTGAAGAAAGAATAAACCTGTCTTATAAACTCCTTGATTTAGCTTAAACAACTTAAAATATGAGCTGC